CCATTCTGGTGACACCGGGATGACACAGCTGGTCATGTAGTTCATACAGCTTATTCGGATTAATGAGAGCGCATACTCTTGATAATGCATCAGCTACAGTATTTTGTCGACCTGGACGATAAATTATGTCGTATTTATAGCAAGACAGTTCTAAGCGCCACCGTTCAATTTTTTCATTTTTTATTTTGCTTGAATGTTTTTGATTGAACATAAAAGCAACAGACTGCTGATCGGTTATCAAAATAAAATTTCTTCCAATAAGATAGTGGCGCCATTTACGAAGTGCTTCCACAATTGCGCTTGCTTCTTTTTCTATAGATGAATGGCCGCGTTCAGTGTTGGACAAAGTTCTTGAAAGGAAAGCTACAGGGCGACCATTTTGAGAAAGGGTAGCAGCTATTGAGTGCTCGGATGCATCGGTTTCTACTGTAAAAGTTTCATCATTGTCAATAGCTGTCAGGGACGCTTTGGCTATTTCCAATTTTAAAATATTAAAACATTTTATGGCTTCTTGACTAAGTGGGAATCGTGTGTTATCAATCAAAGGCTTAATAAGGTATGAAAAGTTGTAAATCCACTTCGAATAGTGAGCTAACATACCCAAAGTACGTCTTAATGAGGCTGCATCTGTTGGAGTAGGGAGATCCAATAGTGGTTTTAATCGTTCTTTGTCTGGCTTGATAACGTTGTTCTCAATGTAATATCCTAATAGACTTATACTTTTTGATCCAAAAGTGCATTTCTTCTCATTTAACGTAAGTTTGTATTTCTTCACAGCATTCATAAATTGCTGCAAGTTTTTATCGTGTTCGTCTCTATTTTTGCCACATACAGTCACGTCATCTAAATAACAGAAGGTGCCTCTAAGATTTTCAGCCTCAATTATGAACTGTAGCGTTCTCTGAAACGCAGCCACGCCGTTAGTGACTCCAAATGGTATACGAGTAAATTGATATAGGGCCCCACATGCTTCAAATGCTGTATATTTTCGTTCAGTCTCTAAAATCGGCACTTGGTGATAAGCGCTTTTTAAATCAATTTGGCTGAAATAGTTGTATTTTGCAACGTTGGAAACCATAGATTCAATGTTAGGTAGTGGATACGCATCGAGTTCAGTGAATCTATTAATTGTTAAGGAATAATCAATGACAAGACGTTTTCGATGTGTAGTGCCTCCTGTTACTAGTACTTGCGCTCGCCAAGGAGAGTTACTTGGTTCAATCACTCCATCCTTCAACAATTTAAAAACTTCTCCTCTAATAAATTCTTCATCAATTTTTGTATAACGCCTTGACTTTATTGCAATTGGCTTTATGTTTGGAGAAAGGTTCGTAAACAACGATACAGGAGGTACTGACGCTTCCATAACACATATTTTTAAGGAATCCCTTGAACCCCCAAAGTTGAATTCTAATGTCTTGTGGCTTTTCAATAAATCATGTCCTAGGATAACATCTGCACATAGGTTATTGACAATCAGTAAAGGTTGATTTGAATATGTATGCTTGTCTAAATTTATCGTTGCATATGTAATGCCTTCTACAAAAGAAATATGACTAAGGGAAGCCAAAGATATAGCCTGCTTATGAGGTCTCATCTTTAAGTTCAGATTTTGGGCTAATGTCTTATTTATAAAACTGACAGAACTTCCTGTGTCAATCAGAGCTTCAGCGTGGAATTCATTAATCATAATAGGCACTGTCGCTTTGCTTAAGCTAGATGGAGATGCAGCAGATATATATTTGGTTTTAATATCATCCGCAACTTCACTGTCTATGGCATTTACAGTTGGTCTACCACTTTTGCAAACAGTAGCGAAGTGCCCTTTCTTTAAACATAATTGACATATTGCGTTAAAAGCAGGGCATTTTATGCGTTGATGTAGACTTTTATTACCACAAAAAAAACATCGCTTACGTTGACTTGCTGCAATGGCTATGCTGTAATTCTGCGTGCTACTTTCTGGTTTTTCATTGTAAGCATCAGTTACAGCATGTAATTGCATTTGATGATTATTGCAGTTTGTATAAGTTAAAGAATTTTTCTCAGCAGTTTCTAAAGATGTAGCTTGATTTTGGGCTTCCTCCAATGTCAAAGTTATGTTTTCTAAAAGCCTTTGTCGTATCTTTTGACTTGTGATACCCGATATGAAGGCATCACGAATATAGTCATTCTTATTTTGCTCCGCCGTTACGTTTTTGAAATTACAGTCGTATGCTAATTGCCTGAGAGCTCGAATATATTCAGTAATAGACTCCTCGGGCTTTTGTTTTCTGGTTGCTAGAGTATATCGTGCATGTATTTCATTTTTAGCCTTTATATAAATGCTATCAAGCAATTGAATGGCAGTCACATAAGAAGAACAGTCACGTATTAGTGAATAGACTGTCGGCGACAAATGGTTGATGAGCAATTTTAACTTAGTTGAATCTGAAATCTGATTTGATTGTTCGTGGCATAAAAAATTTGAAAATGTATACCGCCAGTGGCTCCATTTTAGGTCTGCTGCCGGTGTTTCAGGTTCGACATCAAACCGGTCTGGTCGAAGAAATCGCGACATCGTGTTTATTTCCGAAGAAGAACAGCTTGCATCGTTTATCGACATTTTAAAACAATTTTATGTTGAATAAATTGATAAAGAAAGTCAAAACCAATGGATATTTGGTTTTATTCAACATAAAAGATTACATACATTATAAAGACAAAATTCATTGACAAGTAATAATATTTTTAGGATGACAGATATCTTCGTTTATAGCAATTATGAATAAGGTTGTATATTATAACAAAGAGGTAAGTATACTACAGAGGGACTCTTTACAATTTAGATTATAAATCACCCGTGCGGCTCTCTTTTGCAAAATAAATATAGCTTCAATATCAGTCGCATTATCTCATAGCAAAATTCCATAAGACATTACGCTATGAAAGTAACTAAAATACACTAACCTAGCTGTCTCAACATCTGTGACACTTCTAATCTTTCTTACAGCATATGCTGCAGAACTAAGACTGCTTGCTATTTTAGATATATTGGGGCCCCATTGAAGTTTCGCGTCAATAGTAATACCAAGAAAAACAGTGGTATCCACAAGACTCAACTCCTCCCCATTTAAGAGCACATTGGTTTTTGAATGTTTTACATTAGGTATTGTAAATTTAATACATTTATCTTATTGCCGTTTAAGAGCAAATTGTTGGCGTTAAACCAATGTACTAGTTTCGATAGAGCATTATTTACATCGTCATATTTAATTGACTGCCGTTTCAGTTTGAAAATTAAAGATGTATCGTCAGCAAATAATACTATATCGTGATTGTCCCTTACAAGATAAGGTAAGTCATTAATTTTATTTTTTTTAATTTAATTAAATTAGTCATTAAGAACAGGAATGGGCTAAGAATCGAGCCCTGAGGAACGCCCATTGATACTACCGTTCCGGAGGAACATTTACCATTGATGACGACTTTTTGAGTTCTGTTACTTAAATATGAAGTAATAAGCCTAAGCGCCAAATTTTTTACACCGTAATGTTGTAGTTTCCTGATTAATGTCTCATGATGAACACAATCGAAAGCCTTGGAAAGGTCACAGAAAATACCTAAGGCATCTTGTGAATTCTCCCAGGCATTAAAAATATATTTCATAAGCTCAACACCGGCGTCAGACGTCGAGCGACCCCTTTAAGTAATTTATTTGTATTAAAAAATTAACAATTGATCCAAAATTATTTTTTCAAAAATTTTACTGAGAGTTGGTAGTACAGAAATAGGTCTATAATTAGCGGGGTCCAATGTACTACCAGATTTAAATAAAGGTATTACTTTATTATACTTCATTAAATCAGGAAACACACCAGAATCGATACAAGTATTAAAAATAATAGCAAGATGAGGTGCAATTAAATCTATTATGGACGCAATCACTGTAACGGAAATCCCCCACAAATCTGCGGTTATCTTTACATCAATGGTTTTGAAGTATTATACAATATTATGCGGTAATACTTTTTCTAATCTAAATTCTTTTAAACTTATAATTAATTTTAAACTTATATTTAATCTTATAAGTCTATCTGCATAGCTTGTGCATTTATTAAAATATACCTACCCTTTTCTACTTATCTAAATTTTAATGATATCATCATTACTGCCTTTCAAAATTCTATTGCTAAGCATAGGCCTTCCCCATAAATTGCCTCATAGTTGGGATATTCGCTACGTTGGACAGGTGGGTTAACCACACTTTGTGCTTCGATGGTGATATAAATTTCAGAATTTTTTTCCGCTTCACGTTCACGCGTTATGTCTATTGGAGTTAAAATGACCAGATAATTTCGCAATGTGACGCATTAGCATATTGCTATAAGCGAGAAATCTGTATGTGTTATGGGGGCTACACACGGTCACTTTTAACTGTCAGTTTTGACTGACCAGTTTTAACTGAGAGTGAAAACTTACGTCCTTTGCACCCGTTCATTTTTAACTGTTCTCTATGACCACAAACAACATTACCATCTCAAGATGTCATCAGCCGACGACGACGCTTTAGCCGTCCTTGGTTTATTATTAATTTTAAAATATAAAAATTAAAAAAATATGCGCAAAAAGTGGTGTAAATTGTGGTTAAAAAAAAGAAAAATTTATTCCCATGTTAATTTATTAACTGAACTAAAAATTGTTTCGAAGGGTTGGCACAACTATCTCAGAATGAGTGAAGAAATTTACCTCAATCTCGTGATCGCAGCACGATTGAAGAAACACCGCCTACACACGCACAGTTTTAACTGATCAGTTCCGTCATTTCAGTTAAAAAATATGTATCTACAATATATCATCAGTTTTAACTGATAATAAAAAAAACTGACAGTTTTCATCGTACACACACTCAGTTTTCACTGTCAGTTAAAACTGGTCAGACAAAACTGACAGTTAAAAGACTTTTGCCTGTCTTAATTGACGAATCGTAACAACAACAAGTAGTCTATGGTTCTGTGACCATGGCGGACTCGAATGATGGCGATCACTCTAAAGAAAATATACAAAAATTTAACCCTGAAAGACGGAGCAGTAAGCAATGGGTTAAACTAAATGTTGGAGGAACTTACTTTTTAACTACGAAAACGACGTTATCGAGAGATCCAAATTCATTTCTTTATCGATTGGTTCAAGAAGACAGTGACTTAATTTCAGACAGGGTTAGTATGAATTTTTGTTCTGTTTACATTATGCTCTTGAATTAAAAAATATAGGTAATAAATTATTTAAAACTGTGTTTTTCAGGACGAAACTGGTGCATATTTAATAGATAGAGATCCAACTTATTTTTCACCTGTACTGAATTATCTTCGACACGGAAAACTGGTTATTAACAATGATATTGCTGAAGAAGGCGTGCTGGAAGAAGCTGAATTTTATAATATAACAGAACTTATAAGATTGGTTAAAGAAAGGATATGCATGCGGGAAAGGCGACCATTGAAGGATTCTAAAAAGCATGTGTACAGAGTTTTGCAATTCCATGAAGAAGAATTAACACAAATGATGTCGACTATGTCAGATGGATGGAAATTTGAGCAATTGATTAATATTGGATCTCAATATAACTATGGCAATGATGAGCATTCTGAATTCCTTTGTGTTGTAAGTCGAGAGTGTGGAAATTCTCTCAATAGTAATGATATAGAACCTACAGATCGTGCCAAGGTTCTTCAACATAAAGGCTCACGAATGTGAACGATTTAAAGGCAAATGCAATAAAGCAGTATTTGAGACTTAGTTTTATGTGATCTGTGTATATAGTGTGTACTTTTGTATCTTTTCATTTATGTCTCTTAAAGTTATTTTAGCCTCTTTGAAATAAACGTTCAAATTAGCAACATGATAACAACATGAAACATTTGATATTTAGAATTATCTGCAATTTGTAAAAATTTATCTGACTAAATACTCAGCTAAATTGATAGTTGTGGGTAAACACCTATAACTAAGACCTGCAGTCATGGTCTCATCCAAAAATTTGCATCACACATGCCATATTGTCTGAATTGCATCTTAGGGATTTTATCACTAGATCTGGTGATCTGACTTCATTTGGTGATTTATTTGTTTCACTTAGTGAATTTTTAATGATTTTTAGCAATATTTTGAACTCGTCCTTCTATGTATCATAAAAAGCTACTATAAAACCATAACAAGATTTTAATTTTTTGATGATAATACATAATATATATTATATAACTCAACACAAACATTAAAAAGATAACTTGCATTTTTAAATTTGACTGCCATTTAATAAATAACAATTATATATAACAATCACTTTTAAAATTATTTTTTTTAAATTGTATGCCTTAGGTTAGTTACCACTATTAAATATTAATTTAATTAAAAAGAGTGATATAAAATTTAATCAAGAGTTTTAATGGAATCTGTTGTTGCTTTGTGGAAATCCATTATGGTATAGATTTCAAACTTTACTAATTAAAGTATGCATGAAAAATAAAATGGTGTCTAATCTAGTTTGAAGATGTTCCATTCACCTAGATTCAAAATCATGCTCAAAAAGTGGAAATCTATATATAATTGCTTTTCCTCTTAGATCAGTCTGTGGATTACTGTATGATATCTTTTCCTGTTTGATGTAATATATTTAAAATAGATTAAAAACATATATTTATAGTTAAACCTCTGACTTGTTTAAATCTTTTAGTTTTAAATTATTTAAAGAATCTACAAGAATCACTGAAACTACTGTTCAATTCATAGATAAAGCTTTTTTGTAAGTGTGAATGTACATAATGATAACAAAGTTATAGTCTTAAATCTGATCACAGTGGGCAGATAATGCAACTCCCTTTTTAAAACTGGAGTCTAATAACTTTAAGGAGAGTAGAATGTTTCGTTATTTCCTTATTCAATAACTTAAAGCATCTATTTTAGAGCCAATAGATCCTTTTTAACATTTTGAATTGTTAATTTGCTAATTATTTTGAAAATAAAATCAAAGTTAGCAATAATTTTAAATTCAATGACTGGACTACTGTAGTAATCCGTAAAAGTAGAGATAAGCTTTTTGAATTGAATGTATGAACAGAACTTTTCTTCAATCAACATGTTTCAAAGAATATGCAAAAAATATTAAATATTACAAAACCAAATATCTTAAGTCGCAAAATCTATTCTGCAGATAATAAATTCATACAAAGAAAGTCATACAACTAGTTTTTCACTAGTATACCAATAAAAACCACAGCTACTCTTTAAGTCTTCAACCATACTTGCATATCATTATCTGACTGACAATGTAAATGTAGGTACAAAAAAAAGTCAATTTTATGCATGTTGACTTCTATTAGATAATTAAGCCTTACATATTTAAATACAAAGAGTGTTATTATTTAATTCATGTACCTATAGACAATATTATTCCAGCATTGAGTAAAGTATTTTAGATGTTAATTTTTAATCAAATGCTTTCTTTTTCATTTAAAAATTACTCTACCAGCATCACTCCCTAACTGATGTAGGGGTGTGTTTAATTCAGCACATATAAAGGGCTTGGGAGAATTTACAGAATGCAATAGGTGTGTTTTGTCGTTTATCAATAGCATTTTATTGCATAAATCACTCAACACTATAAATTAAAATATTATGGCCTTAATTAGCAGGGTCTTCGCATTTTGGATTCCTATCTTATCAATAGTATTTAGTAGGTCCAAGTTAATGGGGTAAGTTTTTACAGGTTCTGTAATAAATATGGGAGTATCATAGGGGTCTATTCTTGGCCCGTTCTTGTTTTATAAATCTACATTAACGATTTACCACACTCGATTCAGAAATTCACTGACATTGTATTAAATGCAGAACTTTACTTATATTGAAAACTAGCTGTTCCCCGCGACTTCGCCCGCGTGGAATTTGTTACTTGGATTTTACAGGTCTTAATTTTTTTTGAAAAGTGGCCTAAGTTACTCCTTATAACATTAGCTATCTGCCAGTGAATGTCCCGTCAAAATCAGTTCAGCCGTCTCGGAGATTAGCCTGAACAAACAGACAGACAGTCAAAAATTTTAAAAATTGTGTTTTTGTTATAAGTACCGTATTTACTTTAATATGCATTTAGTAAAAAGCTGTTATTTTGACATTACAAACAGATACTTCAATTATATTTATTTGTATAGATTATTCGAAAAACTGAAACCGTCAGTGAAGTAAATAGTGCTCTATATAAGAATTTACATTTATTCCACGCGAACAATATAGCGCTTAATGTTAAAAAACTAAATGCCTTGAATTTGCGTTTTCTAATGTAAAAAAAAAAATAATCGAATGCCAACCGTGCAGAATAATTTATTAGACTTCATTGAAATATAAAAGTATTTTTGGAAATCACATTGTCACATAAAAACTAGGTAATAAGCTCAACTCGACTGCTTAAAATGTTGTAGAAAGAATCATCAACGAACAGATGTGCCGGCTATTGCTTGTTTAGTCCACTTTAGTTACTTTCACAACATAATACCTTACGATATTTTATGCAGCATGCAGCTGACTGAAGACCCACTACTCTCGCTAGAGAGTAGTATGTTCCTTGCTGAAGACATAGGTACTTTCCTCTATGCTGGAGACTGTTTTAATTTTGCAATTAAAGGCAGAACGTGCAATTTATAATTTGCTTTCTCGTGATTCGTTAAGGGAACTGTTTAAAGAAAGTAATATTCTGACTTTGACTGGCAAGTACTCTATTGAAAATATTATTTATGTATTAGGTAAACATGAATATGCCAAAAAATTACGATTATCGTAGTTTATGAATAAGTAACAAAATTGTTAATCCCAAATTTAGATTAACTAAGATAAGTAAGTTATTTATAGAGCAATGCATACAAACGATTTATCAAAGTGTCTTATAATATTTAAGCCTTACCAAAAGAAAATTCAATAATCACATTAAAAGTGTTTATACTCCAAAGCTTAGCATAGTAATCGAATGAACTCTAACTATAATACTTTATATGAATATTTTGATGACATAGCAACATGGAACAATGTGACTACTATTGGTTTATAGAATAGGTAGGTACATACATAGGTATTTTGCATTTGCATCGATAGTTTTTAGGAAAAATTGTAAGTGATTTCTTGGGAAATTGCAAGTGCGTTTAGTAAACTGTCTTAATTTTGCGTTCGGAGATATATCTCAGCGTGTGATGATATTATAGCATGATTCCTTAAAGGACTCTGCTTATGGCAGCGCGTGGGACAAGTTTTCCACTTTCCTTATGATCGAAGAGAGCGACGGCTGCCACATGCATCATACTTGTGAACAGGTGCTACTTGTGGATGCTAGTCGCTAGTCTGCTCGGGTTTTCTAAACACCGATAAGCTACAAAATTTTAATCGTCCTTTTCTCGAACATCATAGAACACACTTAAGTTACCGAAGTGTTTTCCATTCTGTATACAGGGTATCCGGCCTTGACATCTCAAGGCCGGATACCCTGTTTATGGCAGAACTTATAGCCATTCAAAAAAAATATAGGAAAATTTTAACCAAAGTAGTACCTGTTTATTTAAAAAAAAATTACTTATTTTACATCACGACCACAAATCAGTTATTTTATTATTATAGTATTTAACGTTATGTACGTTGGAAGATAATTAATAAATAGTATGACTGCTATTGAATTTTTTTAACTTGACCTATCCGTGGTATAATAAAATGTATGGAAACATGAGTGACCAATTATTTTAAAATAATACATATATAAAATAATACATATTAAAGCAGATTTTCTATAATTAAATATTATATCCAAAGTAAATAATACTAAACTAAACGGATCGTAGCGTAGTCTTGCCATTTCGCTATATAAGTTCGCTTTTCGCGCTTTTCTTGACGCGCGTCAAAAATCAGGGAACAATGTGCGTCTCGCCTCTTTGCGTCTTTACTGGCTAAGTGTGCAGCAGGCATACAGGTGTTTATGTTTATGCCAAACTTTCTATTAACCCGTCCGCTGTTCCGTGCATTATATATAATTAATTGCTATTGTCTTACTATTATGTACTTAAGTCTGAAAACTGGACAGTCAAAGTGTTATCCGATATTGCTGGTGATACGATTTTAAACGTAGTGATTATATACTCTTTGATACGACTTTTGAATTTGGGGCTCTGGCTGGCGAGTTTCCTTGAACCTGATTGGTGCTATAAAAGCAAGATATTTCCTATCCAATGAATTTAAAAATGGCATTACGAAAAAATGCTTAATCGCCGTGTGGAAAATTTAAGCCGCGGTTTGTTGGAGTTGTTTAATATTTACGACGGGTTATGTCGGACTCGCACCGACGAAACCTCATGGTATTCCACCTACGCCTCATATAAGCAGGACCACGGGAATGCTTTCGCACAAATCCGCGGCCCCACCAGCGTTGGCCACCCCATGGCAGAACCTCTCCTCCTCCCCCATCTGCTTATCAGGTAAGGCCAGAGTTCCCAGAGTCCGAAACGCGGAAAACATGGCGGCCAGGAAAAAATGCCTACAAACGAAATACACAAAGCACAAAATCATCTGATCACTTTCTGTAGGTTCCCTACCATAGAAGAAGAAAAACTTTTGACAATATTGTCGTAAGTCTTTCAGCACTTTGAATTTACTGGTCGTTATTTGCAGGAATTATTACTATTGTTGCGCGCCACTATTAATGCCTTGTACATGACAACACTAGTTACCAC